TTAAGGTTTATGTTGAAATTTGAAACCTAAACTCTAACTAATTTTTAACAATTAAACCCTAATAAACTTTTAAAATATAATAGTTTGCGACAATGTTGCACATAGTATGTGCATACACTGTGCATAAGCACTAAGTACTCCATGCGTATATTTTGCATATGTTGTACATACTTGTATGTATGTTGTGTGTACTCTATGCGTATTTTGTGCATTTTATGACTATATTTTTTTACTTATTTTATGTATTTTTAACCTTGATTGTTCATATATATGTTCGTCCTATTACCCATCGATGTTATGTTTCGACTTTTCAAACAATCTGTGATAATTTTGCTCAGCAAATTTCTCCTGAAATCATGGACAGATTAAACCGTTTAAAGATCATACATTTTTTGTAATTTATTGGGTTTGAGCAAAATGTTCCACTTATTTATGAGTTGATCTCAAGGTGGAATATTTCAAAACAATATTTTATTCTAAAAGGTCAACCTATTCCTTTCACTGGTCTGCCAAATAAAGGAGAAGAAATATAATGGCTTTCCTTAGCACATTCATTAGTTACATCATTAAAAATTAAGGCGGACATGCTGGAGTTGAACAAACAACCCCCCCAAGACTATGTTAAAACGTTTATTATGTCTTTATGTCAAATTTATTTTTTCAACTTAATAACTTTAAAACCTCTCAATTGCTTTAAAGAATAGCAAATAATGTAGATGATTTTTCATCACCGATTAGGTAATTTTTAGTTGGAAAGTTTAATAAGGCCTCCAAAATTTTAAATAACAAGCCAGCATGTTACATCAACGATTTTGTGTCTCTGCTAATTGTGAGTGTTAAATTCATTCAAAATTTTATTTAATTTTTATAATTCATTTGCTAAAATTTTCTTTCATCTTATGCAGATTCGATTCCTAGAGCATACTTCTATTCATGCTCCTATATATGCTGACAAAAGGCCCAATTTTCTTCGTTGGGATGATGATATTATATATACTACAGAAGCGACCACTAATTTATTTGTTAATTTAAGGAAAAGTCTAGTACATCTTGTATCAAATTTCAATTAATACATCTATAAAGAATAAAATTTTGCTGACATACAATTTTTTTTGCAAATTTTTTGTTCTCCAGGGAGTTTCCCAGGCTGAAATTGATCTGGTTAACATCAAAAAAATATCTATTAGACAGACATCCATCCCATCATGAAATATTCACCCATCAAACCCCCCCAATCTCCCCATCATACCCCACCTCCTCAAGACCCCCATCAATATCCTCAGCCACACTTTAATTTTTTTACTAAAACACTGGATTCTCTCAAAGAAAAAAAAATCAAATCCTGCCAAGAAACTTGCACAAAACTTTTTCTTGAATTTGAAGATAGGCTGAGCAGAAAGTTTGAAAATCTACCTGAAAAAGTAGAAGTTATTGAGGTCAAGCTCAATAATTATATTGATCAAAGCAAATTATTTTCTCAAAAATGATCTGTTAGCTACTCTTTATCTTACAATAAAAAATAGAAATCAAATATCCCTCCCCCCAACAAACCAATACAATCCCAAAATGTATAAATCCCATCCAGAAATGAGTCAATCCCCCAAAATGAGCCAATCTCAACCAAAATGCAACTAATTCCATACCCAAAACTTATGGAGAAAAGGAAACATATGCACTGGACTCCATGTGCTGCATATTACATAGATCTGATTCTTGAGAAGCTTGAGGAGCTACCTCAACATAAAAATGCACTTATTAAAGTAAAAATAACCAAGTTTATTTAAAACCACTCTTGGGTTGTAGCTCTATGAGAAAATTTTCAAAGAAAAAAATACTAAGGCCAGTAGTAACAAGATTTGTCACCACTTACTTGACCTTAGAGAGCATGCTGGATGCTAGACAACCTTTAGAGACTATGTTCACATATACATAGTGGTTGAGTTGTGCTTGAGTGAAGAAGGCTGAGGGAAAAGAGATTAGAAAGATTATTTTAAATGACAGATTTTGACAAAGTGTCTTATATGTCATTACAACCACTATACCTTTAATTCATATTTTAAAGATGATGGATATTGAGAAGAAGCCTGTAATGAATTTCATCTAAAATGTCATGGATAGAGTCAAAGAGATGATTGCCTCCAACTTAGGAGGCAATGAGGAAAGTTTTAGAAAAATTTGAAATATTATTGATAATATATGGGAGCTACAGCTTCACCGGCACTTGCATGCAGCTGGCTATTACCTAAACCCTCAGTATCAATATGCAAAGAAAAAATCCACAAACCCCGAAATAAAGTTGAGATTGTATCATTACATGGATCGGCTAATGAGTGATGCAACTGAAAGATCAAATGCTGACATATAATTGGTATCTTTTAGGAATAAAGAAGGTTTTTTTTGGATTACAACAAGCAAATGATACAATTGTCAAATAACCTACAGGTGATTTTATTTAATGTTTAAATATTTATTTAAAAGTTATTTTTTCGCACTAATTAAACTCTCTTATATAAATATAAGTTGAGTGGTTGATTCAATTTGGTGATGAGACTCCAGAATTGTAGCGTTTTATTGTGAAAGTTTTGAGCTAGACATGCTTTTTATCTGGCTGTGAAAGAAATAGGAGTACCTAAAACCAAGTACATACAAAGAGGAGAAATTGATTGTCGACATTGAGGATGAATTCACTGGTATATATTATGTATAATAGGAGACTCAGATATAGGAATTTGAAGAAAAAAGGATTAATGAATAATGAAGATCATTTACTTTGTAAGGATGTGGCATCTGATGATAAGTGGTTTGTAGATGATGAAGTTGAAGAGATGTCGTCTGAATTATAAGATGAAGATTTAAATGTTGATTTTTTTTATGGTTTTAAAGCATCTACATCCACCACAACTAAAGAACAAATCAAAAAAGGTATATAAATAATATAATTTTCTTAGACTTTTATTAATGTATTACACTATTATTCATTATGATATTATTCAAAAATATTTAGGTAAGAGGAAGATAACTAATAATAAAGAAGAAGAAGCTGATTAGGAGATATTGGACTCTACAGGAGATGAGCAAGAGGAGAGAGCAGTTCATCATAATGATGATTTAAATAAAGACCCTCTTAGTGATGACAGTGCTGATGACTTATAAGTTCTTATGTGATATGTCATTGCTATTTATCCTGTGCATTTTTATGTTTTATATATTATTTACTCATTAGTATATACAAAATTTATCATTTTATGTTTATGCAATTTTTTAATTTTGAGGCTTACGTCTCAAAACGTCTTGAGGGTTGCGCCTCGCCTCACGAACAAAAAACGCCTCAATACCCCATTACACAATTTTAAACATTGATAGGTACTAATATGATTTAATATCATATGGCAAATACATTAGAAACAACAAAAACTATCTTCTTAGATATACATTATATTCTTATTACATTGTCAAGAAAATAAGTTTTAGCCTATAAATAATTTTATTTTCTTTCAAAACTATAAAAAAAAATGTTGCAAATTAATTAGCATAAGAAATTACATGGATCCTATAAAATCTTCTATGAACCTTACAAACAAAAAAGGGATGGTTGATCATAATGAACATATGGTTGAAGAAGATTCTTAAGAAAAAAAAAACATAAAATAATACTGTTGTTTAGCACAAAAACAATATATATTGTACTCTATTCAGAGAAAATAATTTGCAAATGGTTATATGAACATAGAAAAATAGCCTTTCATTGACAAGCATTAAGAAAAGCAAATTTTATGGATAGCACAAATGTTGGCACAACAAGTCCTGCAGCGTAAGCAAATCCATATACTCTATTTTGCATTGAAGATAAACACACTCAACTGCTGGTGAATGAACAAATACATGGGTAAATGGCTAAAAAAAGTATTGGTTTGGAGGAGAAGTGCTATGAAGCATGTTATGGAATGTTTAGCCAATATTTGTTTCACAATAAGGTTACAGAGTTAGGGGTGAACTAAAGGAAGATCAAAGTTTGTCCATATTTACACTAGAGGTCAATAAGTTGTAAACCCAAAAGTTTAAGTACATAGGGTGAGGGTCAACCACTTGATACTTCTACACCAACATATTTTTCAACTATCCAATATAGTACCAAAACAAATGCCTCATGTCTTAAGATAAAACCATTATTTTGGAACATAAGAGATGCATGAAATAGAAGTTCCATGTAGTTAACAAAAATGGTTTAGGATAATATCAATGATGTTATTGATGCATCATGCATAAGAAAAATAATATGCGAACACAAAATCAACAAATGTAGATAAGAATTGTCATAACTAAAACAAGCATAATTGTATAAATAAGACCTTGTTATCTTAAATGGATGTTAATTTATGAAGCCTAATTAACATCCTACAAAGAAATGCCTTACATAGAGATAGTATTCAAATCGACCTTCACATCAAAGTTGTTCGAGAGAGAGGGGCGGCGATTTTAAGGTTTCATTAAAGAGAAATAAAAAAGAAACAAGTTCATGCCATCGTTGAATTTCTCTTGTAAAAACTTCACTTTCAACATCATAATAAAAACAACATCTACATAAATGGAAAATAGGCCCCAATTCGGCGAACTTGCATAAAAACTCATGATGTTTTTTGTGCCTTTTATTATTCTACCATTTATTGCTTCCCGGTGATTCAATAGTCCACGAGCTAATTCACGATTATTTGAAGCACTGTCGCTGGCTAAGATGCGCGAAACACAAATTAGTTTTCTAAAGAGTGCAGGGTCACATCACAGCTAATTTCTGATGAAAATCAACTGATTGAGAAAAAATATAAACATCCGACACGTACAAGTGAAACCTAATTGAACAATGTAAGTAGGATACTTTGAACCCTAAAAGGCCGCATAACCTCATAACTAATATTCCCAAATCAATGCTTGAAAAATCCTCATTTAAAGTACAAACATTTTAAAAAAAAAAAGCGTGAGGCCGAGAATGAGGGAACAACAACCTGCAAGCGGAGAAAATGGAAGTTTAGGCTTATTTGTGAAATGGGATTTCTTCTCGATTATAAATAAAGAAGTTGGGATTAAGGCCGATGCTGCCGCCATGACCAAGAAGAGAAGTAGCCGAAGAAATAACCAAATCAAGTGGAAAACTCGGGACTTCGCAGCACACAGCGTTACTTATCGCAACACTTGACTACACCAACACTTGGATAGTTTTCAGTATTTCCTCCTAATTTATATATTTTATCTTGATTTTTTTTATTTTTAAATTTATTATTATTATTATTATTATTATTATTATTATTATTATTATTATTATTATTATTATTATTATTATTATTATTATTATTATTATTACATAAATAATTTATATCTTACTTCTTTTAAAATTGATTCAAATATTTTTAAATTTATTTTCCAAATAAAAAATTTTAATCAGAATATTTTGGTCTAATTATTTTTCATGCATTTGTAATAATTATTTTTCATTCATGTTGTTCTTGGGAAAAAACTTTGTGATTGGGTGTTAAGGTTAGGTGATTAGATTTGATTTTGAATGAATAAAAATATAATTAATTCTAATAAAACTAAATTATATTTAGATTGATGAATATATGTTAATGAAAATTAAAGTGACTTTTCTCAAATTTTATAATTATTATGAGAAATAAATTATATCTGAGCAAATTTTTATATCATTTGTTTAAATAGATGCATTAATTGATTTAATAATTGAATAAATTAATGTAATTTAAAGCTTTTTTTATCAAGTTTATAAAGTAAAATTCAAATCAATAACAAAAAAATGAAATAAAAATAAAAATTACAACTAATAACTCAATTTTACATTTTAACAACCAAAACAATCAACCAGTTCAATTTTTTTTAATCCAAATAATATACAACTTTAATGAAAATGGTGGCTGAGAAAAATATTAACAACAAGGATTTACGTTCAAATCGCTCAGCTGCCCAAAAATAATTTATAAATTCTTTTTAAATTAATTTAAATTATTCAAAAATTTGTATCAAAATTTACAATGAAGTTTTTTTATAAAATTTATTAGGAAGTTTTGTTGGTATACTTTTTAAAACTTTCAAAGTCATCAATATAACAACCAATTTCAATTTCTTATAAATAGTAGTATATCACTTTATTATTTTATTCATTAATTACATACCATAATACATATTTGAGTTTATCTTAAAAGAATATTCTTTTAATGAAATGGTGATAGATTCTATTGAAAAATATCATATTAGATATCAAATAATATCATAATGATGAATTAAGCTATTCATTAGATCCCACTCATCATGTCAACTTTGTCTATTTAAGTACTAACACCATGTTCTTTGGTGATGAATGATAATAAAAATTAATTAATTATATTTTGATGTATTTTTTCTTAATGAAGGTTTACCCCTATTCCTTTTACTTACAATGCTATAAATATTCATGTACTCTTTTAAATGAGAATAAGATAAAATGGTTTACTTTTTAATTATTTTGGTTTAGGTATGACTTGGTAGCCTTTATCTTTGGAGAACTTGGTCATTCTTCTATAAAATTATTATTGGATGCTATGTCCATGCTTGGATAATAATAGTTTTATCCTTCCTTCCCACCATATTCTATATTAGTCTAGCTAAAAGAATCAATAAGAATGTATCATATGGATGTAAACTACATGGGCAAAAAGAAGGGTTGCTAATAGTTATAGCTAAAAGAAAACATAAAAAAATATGTATCAAAAAGGTTCTAGTTAAGGGAATAAAAAATTGCAAAGAGAAACCCTAGCTCAAGGAGTTTAAAAGAAATTAAGAACCTGTAACTCTTTTTGGATGAGTTATTAATAAAAAGGTACATTATAAAAGAATACTTAAAAGAGCAATCATGTATTATGACTATACTAGGAAAATAGCTTAAAACATCTTACTAAAACATAATTTAAGTATGATTGGGACAAATGGATCTACTTCAAAGAGTAACCCATAAATTTAGGGTTTCCACTTTCCTTCCTTTGGTGAATGATTGACCCTTCCATCTAATAAAGCTTAATTTCCATGTGTTAAAAAAATGATAACTCTCCATCCACTTTGTCTTGGCCAAACCCTAAAGTTATTGAAATGCATTATCTGATTATATTATGTAACTAATCCTATTCATTTTATGTCATGATTGGATGCTCTTTTAGTTAATTCAAATATTATAATTTGTGAGTGGTTCAAAACCTTGCTTTTATGTCATGATTGGCCACCCACATACCTACTTCAAAGTGTGGCCTTGGGACTGACCTTCTAAAAGGTGGATGATTTGGTATTGGAAGGCTTTTAAGAGAATTTTGGGATTATTCAAAAGCTTTTGGACAGTTTAAGTGAAATGTTGCTACATTTTCATGCAAAAGGAAAAAGTTTTGGTAGGGAGAAAAAAAAATTGACTAAAATTCAATATCTAGGATTTAGAGCATTCATGTTTTAAAGCAAGGAAACTCTATGCCTTAGAAACTCTTGGATATGGAAGAGGAGTGTTTCTACTTCAATTTCAAAAAGCTTCATAATTTTTCAATATTTTTTGATGGGTTAAAAGAGGTTTTGAACCAAATTAGGTCAGATTCTACTTAGCCTTGGTCAAGAGAACTTATAGGCTTTTTTGGTGGAGCTTTTATGGGGAAATGGATGGGTAATTAGTATGGGAGTGTAAGGGGATAAATGTAGAAGAGTTTTACAACAAAGGATAGGTAGTGTTTATGGAGATTTACTACTTATCACTCACCAAAGTAGTAAGGTTTAAGGAATCACTAAATTCCTTCAAGGGTACAGTCGGCCAACAAGCCTCCCCTTTTTTGAAAAAAAACTCCAGCTTTTAAAATATAATAACCATCTTTTATTATTTATCCCAACATTTATAAATATGTTTACAACTATAAATTTAAATTGCATAAAGAAAGGGAAGATGAGAGGAGCAAACCACAATAGTGAGTAAGAGAGATCCAATCCTATTCATTTTATGTCATGATTGGACACTCTTTTAGTTAATTCAAATATTATAATTAGTGAGTGGTTCAAAACCTTGCTTTTATGTCATGATTGGCCACCCACATACCTACTTCAAAGTGTGGCCTTGGAACTAACCTTCTAAGAGGTGGATGATTTGGGATTGGAAGGCTTTTAAGAGAATTTTGGGATTATTCAAAAGCTTTTGGATAGTTTTAAGTGAAATGTTGCTACATTTTCATGCAAAAGGAAAAAAGTTTTGGTACGGAGAAAAAGGAATTTGACTAAAATTCAATACCTAGAATTTAGAGCATTCATGTTTTAAAGCAAGGAAACTCTATGCCTTAGAAACTCTTGGAGATGGAAGAGGAGTGTTTTTACTTCAATTGCAAAAAGCTTCATAATTTTTCAATATTTTTTGATGGGTTAAAAGAGGTTTTGAACCAAACTAGGTCAGATTCTAATTAGCTTGGTCAAGAGAACTTATAGGCTTTTTTGGTGGAGCTTTTATGGGGAAATGGATGGGTAATTAGTATGGGAGTGTAAGGGGATAAATGTAGAAGAGTTTTACAACAAAGGATAGGTAGTGTTTATGGAGATTTACTACTTATCACTCACCAAAGTAGTAAGGTTTAAGGAATCACTAAATTCCTTCAAGGGTACAGTCGGCCAACAAGCCTCCCCTTTTTTGAAAAAAAACTCCAACTTTTAAAATATAATAACCATCTTTTATTATTTATCCCAACATTTATAAATATGTTTACAACTATAAATTTAAATTGCATAAAGAAAGGGAAGATGAGAGGAGCAAACCACAATAGTGAGTAAGAGAGATATAAATTGAGGTATCAACCAAAATAACTTCTTCTTCTTCTTTAATTTGGCAAGCCAAACTTGTTTGGCTAATATTTAATTTGAACATTAATAAGAATCATATTACCTCAATATTTTAAAATCTAAACTTAAAATTTTTAAAAGTTTGAATAATTAAAATTCAAATTTCAAACATCTAAAATGCACATTTTAAATTATAATTGAAACCACATTTAAAAATCATGAATATATAATCCTTTATAATAATTATTATGCACACAAAATAAAATTTCTACTAAAGGGCCTTTCTTTTACTCCTTATCATGGATCTTTAAATAAATTTAGCTTTATTTATGTATGAGCTCTAGTTGTTGGTCCATTTCTTCTTGGATTAATATCTTGTTGCACATCAATTCTTCTAGGACTAAAAAAAAACTCTTCTTTGATTATTTGAAATCAATATAGTCTAACACATGCTCAAGTGCAAGCTTCCCAAGTTATCTTTAGTAGACCAGCTATCTTTTATTGATGCTTTATCATTGCACCTCTCATGAAATCTATGATCTCCATAGTGATTTGTTGATACATCATCTAGGATAATTTAATCTACCTCAAAGAAGGAATGTTGGGTAGGCACCTATATGTAATTATTTTATTGTCCTCTAAAAGAATCATTCTACATATTTAGAAATTTGCTAACTCCCTTATATAATATCAAATCTGCTATATTAAAAATATGGCTAATAAATATATCTTGCGCTAACTTGTAATTTTTAAATTTTATAGAGGAAAATCTCTCAGATAAACTCTACTCAATTATGATATCACTCCTATGACTAGTTATTATTTTATTGGCTAATTGCCAAGCTTGATCAGGGTGATTGATCCTAGCCAAAAAAAGTCCTTAAATGTGTTTGTATAATTAACTTTTAGAACAAAAAATAATCTTTCATTCTTCATTTGATCTAGTATAAATAAGATTGCATTCATAACATTGCTATTCAAATGCAAATAGAAGTCTCTCACTTAAGGATATATAATTTGTGCTAATAGCATTTTTGTCAAAATAAATATTTTATTTATAGACAAAGGTTTAAATAATATGCCTAGGTGTAACATGCTAGGTTCTAGCTATCCTATTTTTTTATAAATAAGATGCAATTTTTTTTATATTTATTGCTCATTATAAAATTTTTAATTATTTTTTATTTAAATTAGTTATGAAAACTTTAAGTTAGATATTTAAAAAATTCAAAATTAAAATCCTAATATCAATTTCAAGTTCGAATGAAAATCTTGACAGTATTTTTCAAATTAGAAATTTGTGCCCCCGCAGATGAATAATCATGGTTCGGCCACTGAAGCATGTATGAACGTAGTCGATGTATATACATTTAAAAAGCTAAAGTGCATAAGCAGAAAAGTAACTATTTATTGGAAATTATTCTCTGCGGAAATATGACGCGTTTGGAGGTGAATCCAAGCATGCCACATCACCAGACCCATTTGCATCCTATGATGTGGCATATTTGAATTCGCCTTGGAATGAATTCGGATTCCACACATAATAATTTCTTCTATTTATGTGCATGTTAAAGGAGTAGACGGATAGTATTCTATCATTAAATAGGTTGTAATTTCCTTTGAGTATTAATGCAATTTATTTCTAAAAAAAAAAAGGTGTCCGCGCAGCTCTAGCCAGATAACCTTATCATATAACGTGACACGTGTAAAAACCTAGTGGGACGTGGCTGTTCCCACCAAATAAAATATTTACACGTGGCAGATAAGCCCCCATTAGGATTCCACTGAAATAATTGAAAATTAATGTATTATGATAATCAAAAAGGAGCTGCTCAGTGGAGAAACATAGTAAAGCGAAGTGAGAAACGAGCTGAGAAATGGCCAGCCTGACCACCACCGCCGTCGTCGCCGTTCATCCCGTCTCCGTCAAAGGCCTTGCCGCCGGCAGCTCGGTTTCCGGCACAAAGCTCCCACTCCGGCCAGCTCGTCGGACTCCAGCCCTCAGGTACATGTATCTGATTCGTATGTAAACATATTTTGGATTAATCTATTTCTGTAGGAGTATTATTTTTTAAGTTGAAAAATTCTTTTCATAAAATAATTGAAAAAAAAAAAATTTGTTCTGTATATGCAGATCAAAGGGGAGGGTGGTCGCTAAGTATGGTGATAAGAGCGTGTACTTCGATCTAGAGGATTTACCTAACACCACTGGTCAGTGGGATTTGTATGGCTCTGATGCTCCTTCTCCTTACAATCCACTCCAGGTAATTTTTATATATGTATATTTGCTGTTTTTTTTTTAATTAAAAATAGAGTAAAAAATACTCCTGAATGTGTTCCTTTTGATTTTTTCATGCATATTTAATTAAAAAATAGAAGAAGTTTGGATTTTATAGGCTTCATTTGAGATAATTTTATAATGTTTTCTAATTAAGGAGAAAGCAATTTTTTTTAATTGTTGTAGAAAATAATTTTCTAGTACAAATTTCTTTTTAAAATAATTAATGGTACATTATAAATAACAACTATGGCCTAAAAAGTAAAAGTGCTTTTTTCAAATGAAGGCTTCGTTTGGGACGGTTTTTTTATTGCTTTCTAAAACATAATTTTAGTACAAAAATAAAAAAATTTATACTAAAACTCCATTTTAGAAAGCAATAAAAAAGTCGTCCCAAACGAAGCCGAAGTCTTAGGCTTCATTTGGGGCGGCTTTTTTGAAGCAGCTTTTTAGTATAATAATTAAAATTTTTGTACTAGAAAGCTGCTTCAAGAAGCAACAAAAAAGCCGTCCCAAACGAAGCTTTAGGCTTCATATGGGACAGTTTTCTATTGCTTCTTAAAGAAAAAATTTGTACTAGAAAACAGCTTTAAGAAGCAGAATGAAAGATGTCCCAAACGAAGCTTTAGACTTAATTTGGGATAGTTTTCTCATTGATTTTCCAAAACAAATTTTTAGTAAAAAAAATTCTAATTCAATAAGTTTTTTAACTAAAATATTGTTTTAGAAAACAATAAGAAAGCTGTCCCAAACGAAGCCTTAATTGCTTGCAATAAAGCTTGAACTTGATCGATTAATTGTTTTGAGCGTACCAATAGAAGATGAATAGAAAGAATCGTAATGTAGCTCACCTTGATCAATATGTTAGAAGTTTTGGCCTTCAATCAAGAGGTCGGTCTTATGTTTGAAGCTCGAGTATTTATTGTATCTGTGAATTTATCTGAATTTGCTCTAAAAAAAAAAGAGAGAATAGTAAGAGAAGAACCATTATGAATGTTTTTTTTTAATATATAAATTTCGTTAAAATTAATATTATTTATTTTCTTAAATTGAAAAAAAAAAAACAGAGCAAGTTCTTTGAGACATTTGCAGCTCCATTCACAAAGAGAGGCCTATTGCTGAAGTTCTCGGTCATCGGAGGCGGTTTTCTCCTCGCCTATCTCAGCGCCACCGCAACCGGTGACATTCTCCCAATCAAGCGGGGCCCACAGGAGAAACCAAAACTGGGTCCACGTGGCAAGATATGATTGGTCATGTACAACTACTTGCTCGCTCTGTCATCATTTATCCTTTTTCTCTCCTTCTAATTGTGCTCAAACGTTTATGTGTTTATTATCTTACTCTTTAATTAGTGTTCATCTAAATTTTGATATGGTCCCTTAATAAATTATAAATCACAAATTATAATTATTTTTTTCTCTTCTTTGAATATTTTTGTAATTATATGATTATGAACTTGAAAAAGACATCAGAGATCAAATTGTAGGCGATATTTTCATTTATTTAATTTGCTTTTAAATTACTATAATATATGAAAAATAATTTAAAATATATATTTATTAATATCAAAATAAATTTAATAATTTTGAAACTCATAATATTTGATAATGTAATAAAAGTATCCAGAGTCAAAAAAAATTTCCCCATTTAGGCTTTGGCTGAAGAGTTATATCCTACTAACAAGAAAATTGGATACTTAGCTTTTAAATATAATGAACTAACCTTTGATTAAGAATTTTTGGAACACTAAAGAAATGTTTGATTTCTCTTCATAAAAAAAAAATGATTAAATGATTTATTGATAAAAATTGTGTTGCATATCTCATTGAACCTTACTTTAACACAATAGATTATAATCATAATTGACCATAGATTATAATCATAATTGACCCTTGATGGGCAATTGTCTCATTTGACCCAATAGATCTTTTTGACCAAATGGCCAATTTGGTCAAATGGATTCAAACAAATCAATCGAGTTAAATTTAGTGAACTCTGAATTAGACTAAATTTCCCCTTAGGTTAATTGGCACCAATTGACCCAATTTAGCCCAATTGATCCTATAGGATTCACTTGATAATGTTGAACTATTTGACTTAAATTAATCAAATTAATTAAAACAACAATCTTAAATAAATTCTTAAAATTCCAATTGATTCTTAGTTTGACCCAATTAACCCAATTCGACCATGCCACCTCATGTGAGTCATAAACCCAATTGGACTTAAAATCTCAGTTTGAATTATCCAATAGATTTTAGGTTACATAGGATGTCTATAGGTTATAAATAATCCTTATATTCTAATTGATTATATTAATTTATGTGGGAAAATAGAATAACACCGATTCGATTTGGGAACTTTTATTTTTGTAATTGAATGCTATATTTTGAATAACATACCATCTCAAAAGATAGACACAATATTCTATGTCGGGTTCAAAGACAAAAATAGGGTTTTAGGAAATATCATTTTTTGCGATCAAATATAATTCAATGAATAACTGGTCATCTCGAGATATAAATACGAAATTTTATAGAAAATAATTGGAAAGAGAAAATGGGCTTTTGAATTTTCCATCCTAGTAATGAAACAAATCCATGATAATAATATATCATTTAAAAAGATGAATATAATATTCTATGAGGGCTATAAGGATTAGGGTGAATTTTTAAAAATGCTCCACTTCTACTATCAAATATAATAGAGAGAATATCATATTATCTTAATAAATAATAACGATATTCTATGATGACATTTAAAAGTAGAAATGAATTTTGATAATGATCATCTACACTTCCATAAAATTTTCCCTATTTTATAAGGGCAAGCCCTTGTGGTTAATTACATCTTAAGAGGGTACTCTTAAGAAAACTCAATATTAAAGCAATGATTTATATCCTTTGATTACGAAGTTTAAGACAAGGATTAAAGTGAAAATTTTTAAAGGAGAAAGCTCAATGTTAAATAGTTCTTAGCAGGTCAAATGAGAAAAGTAGGGAGCACTAGATTTTGAGAAGTCCAGAGGTGACCCGATCTATCCTATGTTGGCTTTACAGTTTAAGATCGAATTTAATATTAAACTTGAAATTTTATTATAAAGGTGATATTATATTCCTAGAAAGTGAGGACTTGTGATTTTGGGCCTGCCTTAGAATCTAGAACTAAAGTGAATCATTATAAAATAGCGACTCGAACCCAATCTAACAATATGCATGATACGAAAATCGACATTATATCCTTGACTCTTGGAAAGAGTTTTGGGAATGCCTAACACTTTTGACTTATTTTCCTGCCTATAATAAGAATTCTATCTATTAATACTCCTAATCACTTTAAAACCATTATTTTGGCCAAATGTAATGCAATATATGTGAGCTTTTATCATTATTTAATTTTTTTTGGAAAGTGAGGTCGACATCTAACAAAAATTCTAAATGATCCCTCACCATGAGTGGTGGATTTATGATTCTAAGACTAAAATACAATCATAATTTAATTATTTTAGTTAGTTTCTAATGCAATGCATTCCAATTGATTATATATAATAAATCATAATATGCAGTTTTAGGAAGACTTAAAAATAGCATTTATCCTTAAAAAGTAGAACTCCCTTAAGTTAGAATATACCCTCATAGTTCAGGTGGTTTACTTCGACAGGAGGTGCATAAGAAAAAATGAAAGATTTTAATATGCACATGAGACCCTTGGCAATTCCCAGCTTACTTTCTAAGCTGATTCTCTTGCTAAGTTCTCCAGCCTAAAGTATTTTATTTAGTTTTGAGTAAAAAATATATTTTTTCCTAAGAGCCTAAGGGAAATCCAAGAAAAAATTATATGCAAAAATAAATCTAGAAAATATAAGAATTCTAGTGCACACAAAAAGTAAGCACACCAAAGAAATAATGAATAAATGAATAATGTAATGTTTGATGTGGCAAGTGCCGCTTAATTCAAACTATGGTATGTAGAAAGTAAATGTGGATAAGCTCCACTGATATCAAGCTAGATTTTTAAACTTATGAATGATACAAGTATTTTTATAGAATGAATTAGTTTTTTTTATTGATCTTCAAGTCTTCAACCACTGATCATCTTTTAGAAAGGCTTCCACCAAAAAAAAAATCTGCTAAAATGGGAAGATATTATTTTACTTTTGGTTCCTTCATCCTAGATAAATAAACTAATTATAACAGATTTTCATAACTATTTGATTTACATTACATTTTATAATTGAAAAAGATTTAAATCTTCCTTGCATGGTTAGTAGCTAAAGCAATATATCATAAAAGTAATTAACATATATATAACAAGCTAATATTATTTGCACATGAATGAGTAATCTGTATCTTAGCCATGCTTTTTAAAATTGGGAGCTAAAGCAATGCAAGCACTTATAAAAAATTTAATTAGTTTTAAAATTTAATATTTTTAGTCCTTTAATAGCCCTGCATAAGCATGACCACTTGCAGAAGATTGGATTAGCAAAAATAAGCTCTATATCATCCCTAATGTAGGGGTAATTAATATGCCCATCATATGTTATAGAACATTATCACATAAATATAAAACATGAATCCACAACATAACATCATCAATCACATCCACTGGAATGAATAAATAATATACTCATCATAAAACAATGTATATATAAATAGACATATTAGTAAAAATAATGATCCTAACCTAAAACTAGAATCAGTTGTCCTAGCAATCCATCTATAGTGTGTGCTAGGTCAATATTACTTGGGAGCCTATTATGCTTTGAGGTTTTATTTTCTAAATGTTAAATATAGTTTATAGGTTTAAAGGGAATTTTAATTAATCTTAAATTATAATGTGTTAAATTTTTTATAATGATATTTTTTATTAATATTAATGAGGTTTAGGTTTTCAAGAACATATTGGCCCAAGTTCAAAGTACTATGAACTCATTGACCAACATATCCTAAACTACTAAAAGTAAGAAGCTAATGGATTAAAGTTATTAAATTAATGAGTAATTTATGATTTTTAATAGTGTTATGGCTTAATATTGTTTGTGTATTAAGGTTAAGGTTGATTAGCCTATTAAGATTAATTATGAAAATGTTATATGTATTAACTTTGGTATATGATTTTGAATTTTATTGTTAATATTGGTAAAGGTGAATTAGATTAATTTTATTGATTAAATGAATTATTTAAGTTACCATTCAAAATTTAAAATTTTAATTATGTTAATTAATATGTATGTTAAGCTTTTAAAGTGTGAAAAGTAAAATTGAGCTTGATATTAGGTGAGTTAAATGATCTCCAAATTTAATGAAATTTTGGGTAGAGGTCAAAGATGACCCACACCAATCCTCACCAAATTTGAAATAATTTCAAATTATTTTGGTTTTTAATTGATTTTGAAGTTGATTTGGGTATCATGATTAAGGAATTTATATGGTTAATTAGATTTGATTTTAAGGCTCATAATTAATTTTTGTAGGTTCTAGGGTTTCTTAGGAGCTCAATACAATTTATTTTAGATTTAAAAAAAAATTAAAAATTAATAAGGATTCTTCTATGTTCCTAGGTTAGATTTGGGTTTCACCAAAGGTTGATTTTTATTTTTGCTAATTGGATGACCAACTGAACTCCATATTCCACCAAATAGAAACAAAAGGTCCTTGTTAATTGGTGAAAATTTGGGTCCATTTTGATAACGTGTTAATTTTTTACATTTTTCTTAAGATGTCTAACCCTAATAACTAAGTGAATTTCATAGGATAGACCATGGTTTGGATTGGGGTGAAACCAGTAACAAACTCACCCATTATAAATACCTAAAAATCATATAAAAATCATGCCACAAACCTCTATGGATTGAGAAATATTGCAATTTAAAATTTTAGGGCAAAATGGGAGCTTAGAATTTCAAATTGCAATTGAGGCCAAAGCATGCCTCAAACACCTATGGGATAATTTTGGGTTGTTAAAGACATCCCCAAAGATTAACCCCTATGAATTTGAGGGTAAATAAAGGTGAAACAAGCCATACAAATTAAATTAGGTTTTACTATTTTAAGTAGTTTTCATGCAATATATAAAACTAATAGCCATAAACTTAATTTCATTGGATTGTGCCCTCTATCTTGAATCTATAAGGTGGACAAAATGCAATTTAGTCCACTGAAACACAATCAATTTAATTTGGCATTTTATCCATTTATAACCATTTAAAATTTCCAAAGCTTAGGTTTTACACAATAAGAAGAAAACTCAGTGTGCACTTCCACACTATGCATGCTGGTTGGCTACTTGATTTATGGTAGGGCCTTGTGACCACTCATATTGAATGATATTCATTCGATCTAGGATCAGATGGGTACCATTCAAAGGGGTAAACTATAGGGAGGTTAAATTA